GCACTTACAGTCAAAGTCAATAGGGGTTAAAAGTTATTGTTAAAAGTGTACACTATTGAAAATATAGTCATGAAACTGAAACATTGTTTTAACAAGGCTAATGAGAGTACTTAGTAATTTGGTGCAAAGTGCATTTGCTGTGAATGTGATTTTTGCTTTTGTACACAGTATATACCTGAAATATGCCTTTAATATTATAAATGTTTACTTCTTTAATGCATGTTCCTAGTTATGCTTGTTTTATCTCTCTTTTTTGTATATTTTTATGCCTCATAAAATATGCCAGTATTGCAACTTTAAATAATTCAAGAATTAATAATAATTCCAGAATTAAGTATTATTATTATTATTATTATTATTATTAATAATAAGAATAAGAATAATATAATTCCAGAATTAAGTTTTAATAATAATAATAATAATAATAATAATAATAATGATAATAAATGTTTGTTTGTGATGTCACACATCTTTCTTTCATTCATTTTCTTTCTTTCTTTTCCTTTATTACAAATAAAATATACAGGCTTATTTTATTTATTATGTAAATATAATACACTTATTTTTATGCCTCATAAAATATGCCAATATTGCAACTTTAAGTAATTCCATTCACATTTTTTGTGACATCACAAATCTTCTTTATCTTTTTATTGATTGATTTATAATTGTATTATTTATATTACATGTTATATTTTTTAAATGCACGTTTATTGTATTTATTATATAAATATAATACATTTTTTTAATGTTTATATATTTTATTAAATGTTTGTTTTTGTGTGACATCACAAATCTCTTTATTTATTTACAGTATTTTTTTTATATTAATATTACATTATTTATAAAATGTGAATGTGTTTATTTATACATTTTGGATAATGCACATCTTATTTTAATGTACAATTTATTCTGCTTAAATAAATAAACTACTTATTAGTAATTATTGTTTTGCCTCATAAAATAAGCCAGTATTGAAACTTTAAATAATTCTAGAACTTTGTTGAAAATAAATTAATTAATAAATGTTTGACATCACAGATCCCTCCTACTTTTTAGACCCCCCCCCACCCCCCCCCCCCG